TCACGAAACACAACACTATTATACAATACACAAAAACTAATATTAAATTTGGTGATTTATTCTTTACCGGATATAATGTTACATATTCACGCATGCGAGATCGGCATTCTATATTTATAAAACAGATTGTTCAGCACCAGTGCATAAAGTTACAGTAAGTAGTCATACCAACAAGTACCCATTATCGTGGTGTGTATTGCTCCGTGCAGATCTGGCAGTCAAGGTAGGTCGTATTTTATTTGGCATATTTATCAATTGTCATTTGCTTATTTTTATTTTGTCAAGCTTCAAAGTATCAGTGATGGTCAATGTACAAAACCGTATTGACATAAAACCTAACGCTAGACCTGTAGCTGTTCCATCCTTCCTGAATCGGCGATAAAAAGAAATTGTTGAAGACAATTCCATCAAAAATATATCGATTCAAAGCATTCTGGCCACACTTAGACTAACAAATACTCGTCACACATGAGTATGACATTTAATGAGGCTACCGGATACATTGTCTATATGGCATCAAAGTGTTTTTTTCAATTGACCACCACTACTATGTAAACAGCAGTGTAGAAGGCATATGAACCTTTCGTTGCAAAACCCATGATTGGCATTGAAATATTCTTAGAATTAGAATTCTTAGACAAAGTAGAATATTTCACTGCCAAAGTATTATATATCAGTCTAAACAAATCTGAGCAAATTATTCATTTAAATAGAACAAAATTAGTGGAAATTCCACATTGAAGGACCGTGAGTCTGGGAGGTGATTTGTTTTTAGTTACAGGACGTTTTATACATCCTGGTAGTAAGAACAGTTGTTACAGTTATGTATCATTAGTCGAGATTCGTATTTAGAAAAGTACAGAATATACAATTAAGTTAAGAAATTATCTCCGAGGCTAATTAAACTGGCGGCCGATTTTATATAGTCATGTATATCGCAATATTTGTGCAAGATGTATGTAGTGTGTGTTCCCCCAAAACCCGGCACGCTTTTATACAAATCAAAACCAATGACCCGAATAAGTTCCGCGTCGTCGCCTATTTTGTCACAATAAACAATTCACCAAGAATACAGGCAACATTTAATATATGTATTTACACACACGAAGGCTGAACACTTGGCTTACCGCAAGTAATGATATTCATTCAGTTTCGTGTCGTTTACTCAACCATTGACCATGTCTATCGGATAATTCATTTAAACATCACTCCTTTCCAAATCTTTAGTCTTTTCTACAGTAAACACGTTAATGACAAATGTCTGGACACCAAGAGAATCAGTTCGTTATATAAATATTTTTTATGCACTTTGAACGAATTTAGAAAAGGTATTTCCATTTCCTAAATAACAAGAACTAAACATTACGTGGTATTTAATTATTTGATAAAAGATTAGTTCATCCTCCTAACAGCAACTTTTTAAAAAATAATTACATTACTTGTTTTTGGCGCTCACCTGAACACGGGTATCAATACTTGGATGAATATGTACATTGCATGACACGCACGATTGTGTCGGAGTGCTGGCGTCACTGTCGCGTGACGACATGGCAAGGCCTTTATGTTATATAGTCACTAATTAGCATCGTTGTACATATCGAAATACGAAAAACGTGGAACAAGCGTCGAGCAAACTAGGAATAGAAAACACTTAACCAATATTTAATAACAATTAACAATTTCCTTAGAAAACACTAGCCTAGATAACACACTCTCTTACACACTCGTACACAAGATTAATAAAGAAAACATTCATCTGAACTGACGCTACAGGTCACAAATTCTTTGAAGACGTACCACACCGGTATAAAGAACAGGTTCCCCAATTAATGAACAGTAAGCGTTAACTCAGCTGTCCACACAGGACGTCAGATACACACTCTTCCTTCGTGTAGAAGAATTAGTGATACAGCAGTAGCGATCATTAAACAGACACAAAGCGAAGGTCTGCATCGCAGTTGCCACGTCATCAAGATGATCATGACTCTTGTCATACTTCATCTTAATCGTCTGTCTTTTCAATGATGAAACAGTTGGCCTTGCTGATTATGAACGTAGGTCCCGGTACAATCTAGTGCGGGATTACCACTGATTAATGAGGCTATATATGGTAGTCATTGACCCTCGGTCGCAGCTTAAATATAATTACAAATATCATTAACACAGTGTACTATCACACAGCATTCAAACTTATAGTTTATCTGAGATAAACATTAAATTATACCCTAAAATGGCATTACTGATTATTCTATTTTAGAAAGCATACTTACGTAGAAACATAATTGAAAATGTAGTTTAACACCAAAAAAGATCGTAAGGAATTCCATTTGGCTATTGCAAATCGTAGACACGCTATTTTAATCACTCACGGCTTCCATACTTTTCAATCACGCACACGTCCTCAGCTGTTCACGCTGGAGACATTATACATTTTTATAAACTATACTAAATGAAGTATTACATATACAACTACTCAAAACGATAATAACAGCAAAATACAAAACATCCCTAAACAAGCACAATTCACATTACAAACACTGATACCCATGGTTGTACCGCAAGATCGCCTAATTGTTTATCTACAACATTCATTAAGAATGGAAAAGGAAATAACAAAATAGGCATAGAAAATTTAAGAATACTCACCATAGTCTGGAATTTGTGCCTGAATAATCATGCCTTCTTCGTAGAAAGCAATTCCATAGTAAAATTGCTCAATAACGCTAAAAGACGAAATTCCGAGTGTCAGGCCTGAATTCTCTCACATGGTCACTTTCTCCCTTACGGAAGCTAAAGGTTAACATAAACCTTGACAAATGGAATACATACGAACGTGATATGAACAACGCTACGTTATAGCCATGAATTCACCATAGACGTGTTTATTATAAACGTGGCTTACTGTATGTTAACGTTAAAAACGAAATCTTAATTTAAAAAGAGGAAACAACTGTATAATGCACGTTGATTCATTGTTGGATTTTCATGCATCTTTTTCTAGATTTATTTTAAAAGTGTGTCATGTGTGTCTTTTGTATCTCCGTTATATTCTTTGACTGCGTCTCAATAGCTTGATTTCATTGAAATATATTTAAAACAAAGTAAGAAACTCCTTTCCACCAAGCTGTATAATAAGTGTGATGATTTCAATTCCCTATTGTGAAATTTTCGATTCCCTTCATCATAATCCTTAGTGTCTACATGGTGCAGCTGATTCGATATTCAAGACCCTCTTCCCGTCATCATTTTGATGAAAATGATGGGGAAGATTAACGGTCGTTATAGTGATGTCATTGAAAAATATTCTATTTCTTTGTGCAAGATGAATTTTGATCGGTTTGATATTCGTTAGTTTGTCTATTGCTTATCTGTTGTTGACCATGTTCTCATTACTTACTTGTGTTGACCAAGATATACAAGGCTATTGTTGGTCATGAAGTAGAAGTCGCATACTCCTGCAGAACTCCTGTTCTTATTCTCTTTGTACTTTTTCAAGAGTTCCTGTGTAATTCTTTCTTTTGTTCGTTTTTAGTTTTACTATTTGTTGATTTTGTGTTTGGAATATTATTATGTTGACATGTCGGTATTTCTTGTTATTTTTCTCCAGTGATTTCTATAATTTGAAAATTTGAAAACAACAAACAAAGCTTAACTGGACTAAAATCATGCCTAAAGTATCGTCCACCCGATACAACTATAACGAATCGGAACTTCAAGACATAGCCACTACACAAAAACCAAAATATCACTAAACAACGATACAGAGGCAGAATTTACAGATATTGTACGTAAAAGCTTAGGAAAAGATGACAGATAAGGTCAGTTTACTTCTATGTAAAACTAAACCAGAGACATCTGAAATCTTGTGACTGCAAACGTTTATCCTACAAGTGATCTTGGAGAGGTCGGTACTACACAGGAAAATGTCTCAACATTCAAACGCGACATTTTCGCGTCATATTTCATCACTGTCTTGATTAGTAGTGTTCTTCCATACGACAATTAAAGACGTAATTCGTCCAACATGTCACCCCTGACAAGGCCGTCGCTCCATTTAGTCCCAAACCATCCCGTTTGCAGGCCAATTGCTCAACACAGCAAGCCAAGGTAGAATAATGAAGCTCTGCTGCTGAAGTGTTGCCCCAACGAATAGTATCAGGTCGTGCTTTGTCCTCTTGGCTATTACAGATAAACCTGTTCATGTAGCCATAAAATATACCCGTAGCCATCAGAAATGAAAGTTTCTCATTTTAAATTTACTTTGTTGTAGAAATTAATCCAACCTACATCTGCCCTTCACTGTCAATGGACATCTTTCAGTACTATGGGAACATTTTAGAGCTCCACACCAAAGTAAAAGGAGAGAGGAAAAAAGCTAAAATGGTCACAATATAAACGTGTAGCAAGTCCAGTGTTCGGTCAATCACCTAGACTAATGGTCTTTTTCTCAGCTGTTAGCAGACATAGATTGGACTCCCAAGAGTGCAGACGTGTTTACGACACTCTGTTTTCATTGGATTTGTTTCTTCCCCATGAACATGTACTTATGATCATTCTAATCATGCAGAATACCACGTTAACACGTTTTAATTGTATCTGTATCCACGTGTCCTAGTCGTATTTGAAGTTGAAGTGAACCGAGTTCCACTACGCATGCCCTAAATCTAAAGATGACAATGCTTTTTGTGTATATATGTAAGCTTCCCCATCATGTTCATCAATATGGCAACCTTCACCTCTCGAAAAGCTATTGTGAGAGGTTTGTCCGTCAATACGGATAATTTTTTTATGGAAATTTAGAATAAACCCCTGCACATCGATTCAACTGCGACAAGAAAACAAGGTGAATGCATGTGTCGAGTACTTGTGTGTTAGGGAGGCATTTTGTGGTTAATTTCAATTATCATTTTAAACACTAATATAGTGATATTTTTTTCTAAATTGTCAGCATAATCCAGGAAATAATTTTTTATCAGTGTTCTCAGTGTTCCGAAAAGAAAATGGCAGACAACAAAAAACAGAAATTGGTAACAGGGCTTACATCTCATCCCAAGTATATCCCTGCCTGGTATAACTACGATGATGTCGGATCTAAACTTCAACATGAAAGTGGTGAGATAAATCGGGATTACTATCTTACGAGGAGTCAGATATCTTTCTTGGAGTTAAATGTGCAGGTATGTGCTATATAACATATCACACAATGTGTAGGCCATTTTCATAGATATTTGATGTTTCAGTCATATATACAGACATAAATGGATATATGAAATGACGATAAAGTAAACTTAAAGATACGTTTGAGTTGGTAGAGCTTGAAAGTGATATACGATTAAGAAAAGGATCACAATTTATGGTTCTGGTACAGTTAAATATAAGAAACGAAAATGATTTGCTGTTAAAGAGAACATCGAAAGATAAATATACTTTTCAATCATTCTTCCCACAGAAAATATAGAAGCATTGTTCATATAATATTGAAAACCAGGTTTCCTAACAATTTCTCTTGTATCACAGGATATCATCCCGAGGGATTCAAATGAATTGACCTTGGTTGACCTCGGAAGCGGAAACTGCTCTAAAACGAGATATGTAATAGATGAGCTGATGAAACGGCAGAAAATGGTCCAGTTTTATCCAGTGGACATCTCTGGTGGTAGGTTTAAAACATCGTGATAAATGCGATTATACTGCTGTAGTTCACTTTTGCTTTACTTTCCAGGCCGGTCAACAAATCCTCTGAAATAGTTTGATCTTGTAACGATATTTTTTTCAGATTTCCTGATGAAAGCTTCAGCAGTGTTGTCAGAGGTATACGATAATTCACTTGTTATCCGACCAATAGCTGCAGATTACGAACAAGGAATTATACAATTAAAGTAAGTCATCAGAACTAGTTTTGGTGGATTTCATTACGTTCTTGATTCCATGCCGTGGAAAATATATAGATTATCGCCTGGAAAAAATATAAATATTTGACTCACACTTTTGGGAAAGATATGTAGCAACACATTAAAAAATGTATATTCATGTTACCACATATACAAGCAGACACACATTTTTTTAAATTGGTCAATCCAACAAAAATATTAAGAAAATACCAACATGGCCACATGATCATAATTCAAACTTAAAATCCTTAGAAATTGATGTTGCAAATGCTTTAGGATCTGCTTTATCCAAAAACTCTTCTGCAAAGAATCAGTCCAAAAATTTCAAAAATGTAAGACCACGCGTGAAAAAAACTAAATTGAAATTCTCTTATGAAAACAATGAAACTTACAATCAACCTTTCTCAATGTTAGAACTTGATGAAAAAATCACATGACTGCAACAGGGCCTGATGATATTCACTATCAGTTCCTAAAACATCTACCAGAGTCATCATTAGAAAAACTAGATATTGTTATTTATATTGTTAGATCGGAAAATGTCCCAAAGTCATGGAAAAAGAAAATGTTATTCCTATCCCCAAACAGGGTAAAGATACAACAGATCCCTCCAGTTACCGCCCAATATCACTTACGAGTTGCGTTTGTAAAACTCTAGAACGGAGGATAAATTCAAGATTAACTTGGTATCTGGAATCCAATCGCATAATATCACCCCTACAAAGCGGTTTTAGATCTAAGCGAGGTACCAACGATCATTTGGTTAGACTTGAAACCTTTGTGCGTGAGGCTTTTCTAAAGAAAGAGCACTTGGTTAATGTTTTCTTCTATTTGGGAAAGGCTTACGACACAACGTGGAAATACGGCATAATGGAAGATCTGCACGATGTAGGTATTAAAGGTAATCTACCAATTTTTATTTCAAATTTTCTATCAGATAGAATATTTCAAGTCCGGAATGGAACGACCTTTTCCGATGTTCATCAGCAGGAAATGGGTGTACCATAAGCATTCTTTCGGTTACACTTTTTGGACTTAAAAACAACAGTATTGTCAAAACATTATCCCCTTCTATGGAGGAAGCTCTTTATGTTGATGACTTCAGTATATGATATCGATCTAAGCATATGAATACCATCGAAAGTTTTGACAAGACTCTATAGAGTCTGTATAAGATAAAAAGTGGACTACGGTTCCATCGTGTATGGATCTGATAGACCTTCATATTTAAAAGTATTAGACACTGTTGATCACGAAGGTCTCAGGCTCGCTCTCGGAGCTTTTAAGACCACACCTACAGCACGTCTCTATGTAGAGGCTAACGAACCATCACTATATAGCCGTCGAAATAAATTGGCTTTGCAATACACCATTCAGCTAAGGTCAAATCCTTCAAATCCTGCTTTTCCCCTCTATTTGATCCAAAATGTAAAACCTTGTTTCAAGGCAAACCCAAAACTATTCCATCATTTGGTATTCGAATTTCCGCTCTTTTACAAAACACAAATTTTGGTGTTAACCAAATTCAGTCATTTGGAACGATAGAAATTCCACCCTGGCTGATGAATTCAACTGAAGTTAACTTTCCACTGCATCAAATGATTAAGTCAGACACAAACAGTTACACCTTTCGTTCACCCTTCTCGAAATTGCAGTTAAAGTACATTTATATACTGATAGTTCAAAAGATAATGATAAGGGTGCTGCGGCCATGGTTACACCAGATGAAACCTATGGATGCCGGCTGCCGAACAACGCCTCAATATTCTCGGCAGAAGCGCGAGCTATCTACCTCGCTTTTGAATATATTCAAAGAAACAAAGTAATGAACGCTGCTATCCATTCAGACTCTTTCTGGTCTACAAACTCTTAGTAATAGAAATATCGAAAATATTTTCATTCGTAATACCTTAATACTATATCATGAACTTGCTTTTAACTTTCGTATTGTTTTTTGCTGGGTTCCTAGGCACATTGGAATACCAGGAAATGAAAACGCAAATCGTGGTGCAAAGGAAGCTTTATCGGTACCACCTGTTGTTTTTAAACATCATTTTACCGATTTTAAACCATTTATTAAACAATTTTTAAAAGATCAATGACAGGAGGATTGGAATACCAATAACAAATTAAACCTGTTATCGGTGAATGGTATCCAGGCTATACATACAAGCAATGAGACGAAGTTGTCCTTGCCCGTCTTTGGATGGGTCATACATACCTCACACATTCATATATGTTGAAAGGCGAATGGTGCATAGGATGTGATGAGCCATTTACCGTTAAACATTTTTATTGGACTGCCTTCTGTCTACTCGAGAACTTTTTTTATCGTAACATTACATGTCTAAAATCCCTTTTTGAAACTGTTGAGATTTGTAAAATTCTACATTACCTGAAATATGTTGGTCTATGTAATAGACTATGACGTACCATTTTAATCTTTTGTATTAACAACCCCATTTAAGATTTTTTACATTTGTCTTTTACCTTTTGGTTTGTTTAATGTTATTTCCTTTTGGATCGCTGTGTGTTTTACCGTATGATGGCCCTAATGACCTTTTATTTCTTGACTGGCCGTTAAGAATGTAATAATAATAATAATAATAATGATAACTACCATCAACTGAAAACTATTATTTATATAATTGCTTCCTCCGTATGTTCCTTTTTTGATTTGGACGTATCTTTCTTACGAAATACGCTTCAGTATAGTTCACAACCACATATTGATTCCACCGTTCACCCATCTTAGAGAAGAAAGTTATAACGAGAGGAGAACGAACGTTCCTTCAGTTTAGAAAGGGGTATGGTGGTGTACATGGTGAAAAAATCAAATGTTCTTATAGAACAAATGTTTTAGAAGAGAGTGTACTATTATATTCTACTTCTTGAGGAAACAGCATAACAATAAGACCGTGACTCAGATTGGATAGTACCTAGAATGGAAGTTAGTAGTTTAGACAAAGGCTTAGTTGAACTGTTAGAAGAGCCAATAATAAAAAGTAGTTTATATGGATTATTGTGAAATTCAGGGATCCAGTATAAACTTGGGAGGTCCGTTTTATTATCATTAATAGGTAGTCTAAAGGATTGTGATACAAAACATCTTTTAAAACACTGCATAATGTAGAGGCAGGGTTTCCTTCTTTATCAAGCAAACCCAGCTCATTTTGTATGCAGGAAATATAATAATGATTGCAGACAAGGATCAAGTTATTGGACGACGTATCTGCAGGCACAATAACATACCTGTCATGTAAATCTTGAAAAGTTTAAAACAGTATATTTAAAACGTAGTTAAACTTTTGTTCAATAATTTAATGTTATTTCGGTGCAAGAGAATATCGTTTTGACAGCGAAGGGTTTTTGTCTGACGAAAATTTGTTGCAGGCATGCCAGTGGTGTAAAGTTCATTTTATGGTTTGCTAGCATGATGAACATGTCGTATGATGACCAAGTGAATACTCTCAGGATGATATCTTCGATAATGACAGGTAAGATTTAAGTAAATTTTCATGTCAACAGACGAACAATGTTTCAATTAGAGTTGCGTAAGTAAATAATAAATCGCCGTTCATAAAATGTATTGGAAGAATTGAGTTAGTAATGTCATGTTCTCAGAAGAGAGAAAAAAATAGGATGAACGACTTAATGGTGGTATAGTTTGATGTTAACGCATCAATTGCGCTCATTTTATTTGCGATCGTCGTCACAAACACGTACGATGTGAAAGTGCATGTTTCGGCATGTCACTTACCAGAATCAAAGATTAATCAAAGGGCGAAGAAATCGGTATGCCACGTCGACGATTATCATGGACACTAGATGTAACCAAAGAATATCAGACATCGGTTGCTGTACTTAATTAAACACAACAAAAATGAGTCGTAACTGCGTGTATTTTTAATTTGTGACTTGAATTATGTTGACTCGTGGTGCATTCTTAGTCTGCCACCTGATCTGAAACCGCCCTACCTCTGTAGTCTCTCCATGAAAAGATGTCCATATTTCTTATCCTCATTACTCGATGGATCGTTTTCAGAATCTATTTGTGGGTCAACTTTGGTCACTTGGCGTTTCCGTTTTATTTCCGGACGGATCAGAAAAAACGCTGGCTGACAATAGGCAATCTTGAATTTTTTTGCGTTGAAAGAATTCATTCTGTATAATTTTCTGTATAAATTTCTGTATAAAGCCAGATTGATCTTTCTTAAAATTTTAATTGTATATTCCTTTTTAATCCGTAGTTATGCCGCCCTTCTGATTGCTGGACTGATTAGAAAATTCAAACTAGTAGCAAAAAATCAGGATAGAAGACAAAAGATTTAGATTTCAAAAGAACAAATAAAGGTCATACGATGATGAACGCAAAGATACTTCTGGGATATCTTGTTAGTATAGTTCTTGTACTTGATATTTCAAAGACACGACTGGAGAAATAAATTGATATTTGTATACAATTTTCATGCGTGTTCTTTCTTTTCCAGACAAATGTCGACTTGTGATCAGTGTTGACATCACACAAGATAAAGAGGCTATACTTAAGGCTTACAATGACGATGCAGGTAAGTCATTTCGACAACACACACTTATCGTAATGGACCTGATATCTTTGGGAATCAACTGTGCTCTCTGGTGGCTGACATTTTTACTGACCACGTTCATCGTATATACCCACTATAATTAGAAATTTAACTCAGATAGAATCTTCTACATCAGTCGCTTATCTCTATATTTTCCTATTACAAAAAAACATGGATAGCTTTCAATCAAGCTGTATGATAAGCGTGATGATTTTGATTTCTTATAACTTTTACTCGTTGCAGTTAATTCGATATTCAAAGGTCTTTTCTCGGTATCACGATTTTCCGTGCTAGAAGTTGTCATCTGACGGATAAACGTGTAACACAGGATTTTCAAAAGATGCAGGTTGATGAAAACTATGAGGAAGTTTTACGGTCATCATATTGATAAGTAGTTTATTTCTTTGTGCAATATGATGCTGGACGTGTTTGATTCTCATTTGTTTGCCTGTTGGTTCCGTTGCTGTATATTTTCTCATTTGAGAACGTGCCATTGCTTACTTTGCTTGACCAACGTTTATATGGCTATTGTCGTCGATTAACCAAAAGGCGTTTACTCTTACTCTTCTGGTCCTATTCTCCATATACTTTTTCTGAAGTATCCATGTAAATATTTCTATTTTCCTTATTGAGTTTGTTTGTCGTATGATTATGGCAACCTGTTGGTATCTTCTTTCTTTTTATTATAAGAACAGTCCGGTTTTATGAGACATAATCTCCTTTTTACGTGTTTGTGGCTACCCACTCGACAAAATGTAGATTTATACCACACCATCTATAGCAATTGACGTAAAATGTCTTGCAAAACAATACAAACTGTTGAACCACTCAACTTGGTCTTCACCAGAGGTTATATATGTTTTATATGTACTCTTCTGATTTCAAAACACATGTATGACCTGACAAAGACTGCCATACACTTGAATAATTTAACTAGGACCATGGACTGTTCATCCGAAGCTTTATGCCAAGCAATAGAATATTTTTATATAGATTTACGTCTGTAAGCTTGCGATCACGATCATTTCAAAGTTATGATCATGGGGTGGGAGTCTTATTACATATTATGATGTTATGGCTTAGAAGTTAAGCCCTTAGGTATTGGACCAGACCCAAGGGTCAAGTTTGATAACATGATCATCTCGGGTCCCTTGGTTGAACATGCGACTGCATGTCCATACATTGAGGTGGTTGGCGTGTTCTTATATACGCTACGGTAGAATGCTGTATGATTTTGCTTGATTATTTGTATTGAACTAACCATCCTTAACCGGTACTTCACCACCGACATGTTCGTATGAAGTTATCATTTAAATCATGCAATTTGTTTTCGATATTGACCAACCCATTCACTCCTTCCACTCAAGAAGCGCGTTCAGTAACTCAAGGTCGCGTGGAGTACAAAAGAATCTCCAAACATGAAAGAGTTCATATGGTTACATTGCAAAGCCAGAATATGCACTGCAAGTTTAATTAATACGGATTTTGATAACTTTCTCACTTGCTGCACAAATTTTAAGGACAAGCAAAAACGTTGAGTTTTAGAATGAGCTGCGTTGAACGTCTCTAAGTAACCTTTTGAACAAAGAACATAAAAGTTCTAATAAAGGAAGATTATATTAAATAAATGATTAAATTTTCATTTCGTTTCATCTAACTTAGATCACCTGTTTATATCATTATCAAATCCTGATGAATTTTATTTCAAAATTGTATTCAGAATTAAGTAGCTTTCTCTGGAAAAGTACAGTATAAAAAATAAAGAGCGACGTTGTTATTACAAACTGTGTAGGAGGGGGTCTCAAAATGGTGAATCTAATCTTTTTATTGCCTCATTGAAACTTATATGGGTTCGTAGACTTTTCACCTCGGAAGGTAAATGACAACTACTGTTCAACACTAATGCAGATAGGGATATTTTTGATAATTGTGGTTTTGAATATTTAGCAACTGTACAACAGAAATGTAAAACTTTATTATGGAAAAACGTATTTCAGCCTTGGCAAACTTTATCTATTAAGCAAAATAAGTTGAACTGAAAAGTAAATGTGCTAAAACACCCATTTGGTATAACAGAAATTTTAAGTTTTCATCGAATAAAACTAACAAAGTTAAGCTTCAGTTACTACTTTGCATAATTATTACTATATATATCAGATACAAACAGAACGAATTGCAATACTACAATGTTGCCTTTCAGCATTATCATAACTTCGTCAATATATATGTTAAAAGAGTAGTAATGGATATATTCTGTTAAATTCATTGTTTCGTTTTACTTTATCATACTCACAATTAATGAAAAATGTTATTCACTTGTATGTCTTTTGTACCAAGTGGTAGTCACTGCTGGTGAACTTTTAATTCCTAGAGGTTTGCCGTAGCCTTCTTGCAACGTTTGATACGTTCGAATAGTGACAACGATTCAGAAAATATACATGTACCTGCTGTTCTAAAATTATAAAAAAAAAATACGAAATTTATTTAATAATGGGCCTGCTGCACCTCCCCGTCTAGATTTTGACGTTTCTTTTGATTATATTGGGTTTCCTTTGTAGCCTCCTCGGCTACAACATTTACGTCCTGAGCATCAGTGACGAGTCCCTGAAGGACGAAACAGCTGTAGGATGCAGTTTAATTCATTGTTTAGCTCTACTGTATCATACCTTTAATTATGAAAAGGTGCTATTCACTTGTGTGTCTTTTGTTCAATCTTAAAAACATGTCAATATATTAATTCCAATAGAAAAAAAGAGTTCAAAATATGAATAAAAGAAAAAGCAATACAGAAAGACCCAAATAAAAAGAATTAAATTATAGCAATATCAGGCGTTCCCCTTTATCATCGAAATGTGAAAACCTTTATCGTGTGGACAAGTATATACGACACCGGACTGTGCCCATATCTTATAAATCATGAATCATTACATTTTCACAACTTCAGTAACAAATGTATTATGAAGACATTGCGTTTTCATTTACCGATCATGCTCATCATTACCGATAACAAACTGATATTCATGAATATGTTATGCAATATTAATCATTCAGGTGTGAAAAGAAGATTCTACCAATATGGAATTGAAAGGTTGAACAAAGAGGAAGGAAGTGTGATCGACCTGGCGAGGTTCACGTATGGGATAGATTTCGTATCTGATTTGAGCCCAGGGTATATGAGCTACGTAAGAGCATATATGCAAGCAAAGGAAGACATGCAATGTCCAATACGTAAGTTGCATTCATAATCATAAATTCATGAATTCATTAATTATATATCATTACAAACAATGGGTTTAAGTTAAATAAAATATATTTACTGAATTTTTGCAGCTGGATTAGAAATCGATTTAGATATAAAGAAGGGAGAACGCATTTATTTTCATGAAGGTGAAGGACTCAGCTGCAAATATACGCTGGAACAGATACAAAATATTGTACACAAGGCTGGACTTTGCTTGACAGGCACCTGGATGGATGAAGGAAAGCACGTTGCTTTCTGTCAGTGTGCAGTGGTACAAAATGGGTTTTACTGGTGAATTTAAGGTTTTCGAGATTCTGGTTAGGTATTTGTAGATTAATACATAATCTGGATAATCCTGTATATTTATTTGTAACATATATATTGAATGTAATAATAAGAGTATACTAGTACCTACCTGCCATTAACTAACTATTTATTTTCTAGTCTAATGTTCTCTAAGCAACTGTTAAATTTCTATGTTGCAAAGCTAAATAATACAATACGAGTTTTAAATGAATAAATTCCTTCAACGTTATTAGCAAGCACCGAGTTACTTATTGTTAACAAACAACTTTATCATAATTAAATAGTCGATTTAGTGAAATAATAACCAACAAGTATGGATGAAAAGCGAAGGATGTAAGCATAAGCAGACAGAGTTGAGATGTTTATAACATATTCTATCACTAGTATTATATGGCTTTCTGTCTTTTGACTGGTTGATAAGATAAACATTGACTGAAAGGCCGCTTTATGTATTCGCCATAATGGATTAATTTGAACATGACCATCCCAAGCATTACTTGTTGTCGTATTCACGAGCCAATGCTGCTCCCAAATCCGCAGCTGAGAAGTGCATTCATACTGTATATCCCAATGACATTTTCTGTTAATGGTGGATCTGGGCCTCCGAGGTTTAGATCCGCATCCCATAAACATGTATAGCGTTGCTTGGCCTAAAGAGATGAACACTCTGGTGATGTAAAAATTGGCTCTTAGGTCTGGCCCAACCCCAAGGGACTTGAGACTCCTTAAACATATATAGTTATGATAGGCATCAGGAGATAAAACATTCAATGTATTAGAATTGGCCCCTTAGGTTTTGCACCATCCCATGGGACTTAGTTTCCTTGTTGCACCTTTGAAGCTGTTTGGATCTCTCGCCTCATAACCATATATATTAATGTTGGACGAACACTATCATGATGTGGGATCTGGTTTCAAACCTATGGACTAGGTTTCACGGCAACATCTTTGAAATAGTTAAGATCCTCACCCCTAAACAACTTATAGCAATGCTGGACATCATGAGATAAACGCATTCACAATGTAAGAACTGGCCCTTGGGTGTGGCCCAATTCCCCTCTGGACTTCTAGATGATGTCTTTTAAATAGTTGAAATCCCAACGCTATAACCATATACATAGTTATGTTATGTATGAATCGCCCCTTGTTGTTATGTGCGAATTGGCCCCTTCGATGTGGCACACCCCAAGGGATATTATTTCTGGGTCATATGCTTTTATATAGTTGAGGTAACAAACCGACAACCATATACATTTCTACTGAGAATCAAGAGAGAAAGCGAAACAGGCCCTATTGACCTCATGTGCTGCTGAACCTCCCCGTCTATATTTTGACTTTTGTTCAATTTTACTTTATGTGTAAAACGTCATCATAGTCCAAAAACAACAGACAAGAAATCATTACATTTCTAAATGCAATGGTGACGTAGCTAGCAGCATGATGGGGGCCAAGCTGAAACATTATTACATGTCCTGTATACACAAAGATCTGGGCTTGCTTGATAACGAAGGAAAGTTCACTTATGCATTATGTTTTAATCGACTACAGATTTGGGCTGATGAAAATGGATTGAAATTTTCACAAGAAAAAACAGTTTGTACGCATTTTTGTCAAATTCGAAAACAATACGACGATCCAAATCTGTCTCTCCGTGGTGTACCCATTCCGGTTGTTGAGCAAACCAAATTCTTGTGTTATATTCGACAGAAAATTGTCGTTCCTTCCACATATGAAACACCTTAAAGTCAAATGCCTTCAGGCACTGAATACTGCACTGGAGAGCTGATTGAAAAGAAAAAGAAAAGACGTTATACAGCTTTTATTAGATCAAAATTAGACTATGGTTAAATTGTGTATGGATCTGCTAGACCTATCATATCTCAAATTAATAGGCACTGTTCATCATCAAGATCTCAGGCCCGCTTTCGGAGCTTTTAAGACCACCCTACAGCCAGCCACTATGTAGATGCTAACGAACTATCAACGAAAATTCCTTAATCTCAAGGAATGGATCATAACTATTCAACTAAAGTTCAAAATTACACATATTCACATTGTAAAGCAAGGTGGCTAAATCTTTCCTTTCAAGAAGCGTAAAAATTGAAAATAATACATTAAATATTCATAAAGGAGAGCTCATACTGGGGCCTTATCAATTTCAAGTGAATCTGTTTTTATTGCGGAATTGCAATCCAGCATTTTTTGTAACGAACAAGAAACAATTTTAGCATTTTTCTGGAATGCATTGTATCGCTCGGGTCACGTCACGTCTGAATGATTGTTTTCTCTATCAGCCCTTATAACAATTTTGCTTGGCACTTACAATTGTGGGATCAAGCAACATTTCACGATTTTCGCACGATAGGAAAAATATCGCTCATTCGTGCGTACGTTGTACGGTTCTGTTACACAGATGTCCAATTCTATTATAGATATACATTTTACAATTATTTCTATATATGTGTGGGATAGGGTTTATTCATATTCTAAATATTCTAAAAATCGTTACCTCTGTATTGCTCTCATTTCCCGATCGTTTTATTAACAAAAAAATGTTCAACACGATAGTCTTCTAACATTTGATAATATTACGTCACTATAACATCAAATGTAAGGTAAGACAAGCGTCGGATTTAGGTGTTCAGAAATGAAAGCAAGAACACATAGCAATTGCATTAGAAGATATTTACATTTTATTAAATACAAATACCAATCCACACTAAAGCATATTCACACTCACGCACACTTCTAACCAGCACATAAAGTTACAAATATGAACCCAACACCTCTCCATGAACGTGAATACAAGAACGCAGCTGATCTGCAGCACAGCAATCGTTTCCCAAGCAATATCCCGCACGCGTGTCAATTGGGATGACTTCCAAAATGCCTTCCTTACCATGTACTACCTAGCAGGTGTAGTGCACGAGTACCACACAACAAGTGGTCTACAAGCATTTGCCAAACAATACAGAAAAGGAGGAGTATACTTTGTTCTGTGCAGTTCGTACATGCATTGACTTATGCACATATCTTGTGTATCACTAAACCGTTAAATATAATTTCATTCATACAAGTGTGACATATATATTATAGTATTTTGTTTAGTTTTTATTAACGTTTTGTAAAATGCTAGTACACAAGCAGTGTGCTTGCTGCAAAGCAGATTATAAAGTCAGAATACAATGTCAGAATCAGGCAGATCTTCTGTCTTTCTTGAAAGATAACACCAATAAAGATTTGTGTTTAGGTGACCCTGCATGTAAGAAATGCAGAGGGAGATTCTACAAACACCATGAACCAGTAGAGCATTCTAACAGTGGTTTAGAATGCTCTGAATGAGACACCTGACTCTAAAAAAAAATCAAACTTGATATTCCACAAGCTACGCTTACTGAATCGCGATGTTTCGTTTGTGGAAAGTCCAGAGATGAGAAAAGTAAAATGGTGAAACCACGCACGGAAATAAGAGTTAAGATTTTCATTAAGACAGGCATCTTGATTCCAATCATATCTAGGTGCTGTGCTTCTCATATAGTGGGTGGTGATATTCATTCCGATGTTCTTCAAACTCTTATTGAGGCAGAAGGGTTAACAAGGAAGCGGTCTATTGGGGTAAAGCTTGATAACGCCAGTTTGCCTGATTTCCCAAAGTTATCAGAACCAGAGTTGAGTGATCTTACCATGGGGGTATATCAGCTGAAACAGGCAAAATCCTATACCAAAGTGCACTTAGCTGAAGATGGTCAGTATGAACTTATGCTATGCAGGGAGAAACCTGACTTGATCAAAGTTCAGATTCGTTCACGATATGTTGCTTCGAAAATGTAAAATCTTTGGATTGAATATTCTAATGGACTGACCCCAATATCAGGCTGGTATTGTCAATGTAAGGTTGGTGCCAGAGTAGTCGGCTGCTGTGCCCACATTGCATCTGTCCTATGGTATCTTTCTTATGACCGACACCAGTCTTATACTGCACAAACAACTGCCTCCTCAAGTTTCCTTAGTTGTGTTGATGACGCAATAACGTTGGAGAACTGGTCAGATTGTGACAGCGACAGTGACTCCTAAATGAATATCCTAACACCACCATTCCCCTTACTAAAGCATTAAACAAAAATACAATGCTGTAAGTAATAGACAAAGGTCATTTATGATCCTGTAAAACCCGATGCTAAATTGATTTTTTTCCATTTTAATATCATGCATATTTGCAAAAATATTTCAAATAAATACACTGCACGTGATAAACGTATTGTTTATAGATGCAGTAAGACAAAAAAGGTGCTCAAGTGTGACTTAATTAGTAATTAGGGCACTTAATTATGGTGACCTACTTTTCAACAATGGCATATTTTTTGGTCATTTTTTCTAGTGAAGGTTTTGAATTATATCATCAAATGACATTTAAGAGAAAAAACTAAAACAAAAAAATTTGTTTGATAATATATTGCAATAATTATGAATTTGATCCCCCACTCAACCCCCTATAACAACTGAACAGTCTTGAGCTTACCTAAGATTAATGTCATATCATTACCGCCTGACCTCAAGGTTTAAATAGACAAAAAATAAAAAGTATTCGTCATGGCCACCAAAAGGCCCAAACTGGTACTCCTCCTTTTTTTCGTTCCAAGATCACGTACAGTTGACGAGTAGGAAACTGTCCCAACAGCCCCTTAACCCGCCCCTTGTTACCATCAATCTTCCTGTGGCTGACCTGGGACCGGCCCCGATGCCGAAGCTGTGCTTGTTGTAGGGTCCAGATGGTTATATAAGAATAATCTCACTCCGTCATGGGAAGCTTAAACAAACAATACACACAAGCATTTACACCGATAACATCCATACATATGATAATGTGACGTCACTATAACATCAATGGTACATTATATACGTTAAACATCTATTTATATAAAAATAAATACACCATATCTGCATTAAGATATGGACATAGTCAAGTGGCGGTCCATTTTTTTACACTATCACTTAGTCGAACAATATAACGCATATGGCATCTAAAGGCTGCCGTACGTTTTCATACCGGCGTCAATTGCCGCCCTAGGATACCTGTAGATGGTTTTAACATATCATAATCATACCAATATGTCTTCAGCAAAACTAGACATGGAGTACTAATATATCAACAATACATCACACACGCTACGCTTAATTTGACCACACGCTAATATAAATACTAGAAATACATTTACCCGAAAAATAAGACCCTCAAAGAAACAAATTAGTGAAATGAAAGATACGTAACAATATAAGCTATTCACCACAGTCTGTATTTCGTGCCTGTAACCATGTAAACCGATAAATAGGTTACAGGCAAACACTACACAGCTATTACTCACGGCATACCTTACCTGTTGCTACCCTCACCCCTAATTCCACACGTGCACTTCCGCCTTGATTTAAACATATTTTATTTGTACAAAGTATACAAGCAGGATTGGACACAAGTTTTCTAACTTATATAAAGCCATTTCCTATAAAATTTTACAAAATACATATTAACAAGACAAGACGACATGTTTAAATACAATTATAATATACAAAAAAAAAAAAAAGAGAGAGAGAGAGAGAGAGAGAGAGAGAGAGAGAGAGAGAGAGAGAGAGTGAGAGAGAGAGAGAGAGAGAGAGAGAGAGAGAGAGAGAGAGAGAGTTTTAAATAACTTCATGTAGAGCGGTCTTTCCTGATACAAACAACACAAGTAAAAATACAAAACGCTTTTCATAACTTTCAAACTTTTCTACAATTCATCACATCCCGTGCGGATATCGCTTTCTCCTGGCATCCGGGTCCTTCAGAAAAAAAAACAACGTCACTACTTGTGTCGGAGCAGGGAGAGACCAAATATTTTTACATTTATCACGGAAGGAGATAGAGGGAGGTAGATGGAGAGATAAAGATAAAAATCTGTTTGAATTAAGTATATATTGCTGAGTGATTTGATATATTTTTACATTATCTTCATATGAGTAGATGATACTACCATGTAGGAGTAACTGCAGGTCTAGAGGGATAAAATTATTAAGTTCTCGGTACAGAATGGCTCTCTGGTCCGAAAAAATATTACAAACAAAACAATAGTGGTAAGTATATTCAACAGGGTGTCCACTTTGACAGAAACGATAATCTATTAGATTGGATCTGAAAAGGTCATTATTTAAGGTACTGGATTTATTTCTTAACCTAGCGTGTAGTATATTAGCCTTAAGACTACCACGCAAATAATAATATGGAACTAGTGAAGTGGGTCGAAGAGAATGTTTAAAGATAGAGTAAGAAACACTTTGTCTAAGTTCAAGTTCAAGTTGGTTCCAAAGTCGGATAGTGGACGGAAAGAAAGATAAGTTTGTTAGTTGTAGTCTGAAATTTAGTAAAGAATAGTTTTGTGCATTACGGAGGTTATATTGTGAATTTTCAGATACTAAAGGGGGCAATAGAGTAGACAGATAATTTGGAGTGAGATTATTAATTATTTTGTAGAAAAGCTGTAGTTTTCTTCTAGTGCGTCTTTCTGATAATGGTTCTAGACCACTCTCAGAATACAATGATTCTCTACTGGTATAAGAGGGTAAACCAGTGATAATTCTGATAGATTCTAACTGAAGTTTTTCTAGTTTGTCTGCATCACTGAGAGAACACCCATCCCAAACTTCACAACAGTATTCTAATAATGGAAGTACATAAGCCTTATAGATTTTGACTAAAGTTTGTCTATTTAACATGTATTTTAATTTACGTAGGATACTTACCTGTTTAGATGCATCTTTACAAATGTTTTCTATATGTTTACCCCATTTACAATTCTCATCTAAAGTTACACCTAGATGTTTATGATGTTCAACAAAATCGACACTCACATTATTAAATTTAATATCTGTGACATGATCATGCTCTATGTTTGAAATAAGTAGGGCTTCCGTTTTTAGGGGATTAAATTTAACAAGCCACTTTTCTGCCCAATGTTGGATTTTAGCTAGGTCGTTATTAATTTTAGTTTCAATGTCCAAAACGGAAGAACCGAAACATAATAATGAAGTATCATCGGCAAACAGTTTAGAAAGACTTTCAAGGTTATCAGCTATATCATTTATATACAAAATAAAGAGTAAGGGGCCTAATGCTGAACCTTGTGGAACACCTGAACTTGTAGATTTAACGGAAGACTTGCTATTTCCTACACAAACTTGCTGTTTTCTGTTACTGACATAGTTGTTCAGCCAAACTTTTCCATATTTTCACATAATGTATGATAAATTTCAATAATTTGATGAACAGTAGAATGACCAGGCTGGAAACCTGACTGGTATTTAAAAATCAAAGAATTATCAAGTAAAAAGTTATTTAGATATTTTACAACCAAACGTTCAAAAACTTTGCCAAGAGTACGGAGAAGAGCTATTGGTCTATAATTAGAAGACTTATTTTTATTCCCTTTTTTGTATAATGACATAATTAAAGCCAGTTTCCATTGTGACGGAAAGATACCAGTATCCAAGGAAGATCTAAAAATTAGATATAATGGATATGCTATCGACTCTGCAGTATTTTTTAACATAATGTGACTTATTGTATCACTGCCAACAGCTTTATTAACATGTAAAGATTTTAGAATGTCAGTAATGTCGTCTAATTGAAATGGTATATCTGATAGAGTAGCGTCCGTCCGTAGCTCTATTTCTGGTATGTCAACGTCAGTATCGTCAATGGTAGAAATGGAAACAAAGTAATCATTTAGAATATTGGCTTTACCTTCATCTGTAATTTCAAGATTTCCAAAATTGCTAATAAGGGGAGGTATGTTACTTGTTGAGTCAGATGTTCTTAGAAGTCTGCGGACAATTTTCCAAAAATTTCTGAGGTTCGAGTCAGAATAACGATCTAAAATACCATTTATGTCCGCACAGAAATTTTCTTTGGTACGTTTCTTTAAATTATTAACATGATTACGTTGTTTCCGGAATTTAGTCGGATTGCCTGGAGTGCGGTTAGTTTTAAATTTTTTTAGTAATCTGTTTCTTTTCCTAATTTCACGTCGTAATTCCGAATTGAACCAGGGCTTGTCGTTAGGTCGGATAGTAACAGTTTTTGTCGGTATGCATTCCCTGGCAATGTCTAGGTATCTGTTTGTAAATTATTCACACATGTCATCCAGGGAATGCGACGTCGTAAATAAATCTAACCAGTCAGTGTCGTTTAGTTTGTCATTAAAAAGTTCAAAATTTGCTTCTCTATAACAAGTAATTTTGCGTTCATATGCCCTTTTAACAGCAGTCTCAACAGTCAGTTCAACAGATGTCGCTTTATGGTCAGAAAGGCCGTTATCTATGTCAATTACGTCAGAAAAATTAGAAATACACGTGTCGGAGAGAAAAATTGGGTCAAGTAGTGTAGCAGTCGTGCGTCCAATGCGTGTCGGGATGTCTATAACGTTGGTCAGGTGAAAAGAGTGAACAATGTCAGTAAGTGCATGTGTGTTTTCTATGGTCAGGAGATCAACGTTAATGTCACCAACAACAACTATATGCGTAGTTTCGTGAAAAGCGGATTCTAGAGAAAGTCGAAAGTGATTCCAAAAGGCGTGTGAGATATTCGGAGGTCTATATAAAGTACACAACAAGTATTTCTTCCTTGGAAACTGGATCTCCGTCCAAATAACTTCACCCACCCGAAATTCTAAATCAGCTCTACGACGGGTGCACAAGAGCCTGGATGTGTATACAGCTATACCCCCACCCGGAGATCCCCTATCCTTACGGTATAATTCATAACCATCTAAGAGTACGTCACCATCCGCTATAGATGTATCAAGGTGAGTCTCAGTGACACAGACAATATCAAAATCAGATGTCAAATTTTCTAATTGAGATAATTTATTCCTCAAACTACGGATGTTAAGGTGAAAGATAGATACATCGTTATTTTCAGAGGGGTCAGGGTTAGGATGGATATCATTACAGACTAGTAGAAGGAGATGCAGTATTATCAGGAAACATGAATTATCAGTTATACAAAAAAGAAGGACATGAATGAAACAGCACGATCTTGTTAAGATAAATATCACTCTAAACCTGAAGTCATTAAAACACTTAAACATATTTATATAGATGAAAAAAATTTGTGAAATAGGTATACCGGTGATACGAAGATAGAAACAACCGATAGCCGCCCGATACTGGGCTAGATCATTACCCTTGATCATCAAACAATAACTTAAACATCGAGAGGCCATCGGTCAAATAAACCACAGTTAAATTAAACATGTAGTTGTCAAAACACTCAGTCTTAAGGGATGATATATTTAGGTCGTGACAGGAAAGGTGAAAGGTGAGAAAGAAGAAAATATAGAGAAAGGACACATAAACAAAACACCTAAGTATTCTTATGTGGAATGTCATAATAGGATTGATGGAGAGGAAAAATAGAAAATGGTGAAGTACCTAGATTTGTTATAGAATAATTCTATAAAACAATATGAAAATTCTTTAGTCACTAAGTGAATATAGCTTTCTTTAAAATGAATTTCTATGTACAATAATATGATTCCATCTAGACATGAAAATATTACAGAAAGTGGAAATATTACCAGACTTGCACACAGACACACTTACACGAAACTACACACACATGCATACCCTATACACTGATAAGGACAATTTACAGAAGTATTCATACAGGCACACAAGTAAAAATACACATGTAAAAAATAAACACATACAGCAACAGGAACTATGTACAAAAATATGCAAATTCATTGCATAGATCAAAATGACAATACATGTACAAAAAATATCTTATCGGTATACTACACACTATATGTCGATAAACATATAAATTACTGTGTAACCAAGTAAATACCTGGTGTTTTAACACACAATTACAATGCAGCCATGTAAATACCTAATGTATAAACATATAATTACTGTTTAACCAATAAATACTTGATGTATAAACATGTAACTACTATGTAACCATGTAAATATCTGATATAAGAAAACATGTAATTACTCTGTAATAACTAATATTTAAACATGTCATTACTATTAGAGCCATGTAAATACCTGATGTATAAATATGTGATTACTGTGTAACTGTGTTATCATATGAGTACCTCCTATATCAGCATCTTATTACTTATTAAAGGAATGTATATTGTAGATATTGATATTTTTTTTTTTTTTGAATGTGTAAACTTCATATAATTTTGAATTAAAATTGTTTTTAAGACAAAGATATACACACGGTAGTTATTTCAATTTTCAAAGCATATTGTCTTCAGACAGGGATGGAATTTCATGAAGAAGTTGCATTTGACTTTTAATAAGGATTTTAGTGGCAGTAGGTGATTTTTTGACAAAAATCCTTCCATCAGCCGTCCAGTAAGTGTCAATATATTTCTTCCGTTTGGCCTGACCAAGTGATTTGATGATTGACTGACGGGTCTTTGTGAGGTCCTCAGTGATATAGATCTTCTCATGGTCATGCTTGAGACTTCGTTTGTTCCGGAAAACTTCGTTTTTCACGTTCCAGCTGCGGAAACGGCAAATGATTTGGAATTTTCCATCACGGTTTTCTCTCCCAATGATATGAGATCTGTATATATCATCTTTCTCAATTCTGACATTGAGCTTAGAATTACACATTTCTACAATTTTGGGATCTGTAAACTTTTTCCAGCAGTAAGCGAAACGTTATGGAAACGCAACGAATTCCGGCGGCCATATTGTTCAAGTTCCTCAACTTTCTCATCAAGCCTGCTGGATTTTTCATCAAGTGCAATACTCAAGTCATTAATTTTTTCCTCAAGAGAGGCACATTTATTAATCAGAGTGTCATTAGAGGTCTTCAGGCTAGATATACATGACTCTTGGACCTCGATTTTATCCTGGAGTGGCTTCAGGAGGCTGGTCATTGTAGATTCAATAATGTCCTTTACCATGACCGACATACACGGGACGAATGCCTCCGCCCACACGGGTGCTATGGATTTAGCCAATTCCGGACTAGATAAAGTTGATTTAATGATGGTGTTCATGTCAACTATTTGTCCTTTTCCGATATCTATCCGATGGGCAGAACTGGGAACGGGTATCGGATTTGGCACAGAATTCCCACGGGCGTGACCTCTAGATCTATTATGTCGTGGATGGTCTGGGGCACCAGGAGAAGAATCAAATTTTCTTTTGTTGGAACACTCAGATTCCAGATCAGACATAATTGATCAATGTTTATATATAAATGTGGCAATATGTATGGTCAAAAACCCAATCAAGAGAGAGCGTATTCCAAGTACCACGTATGTCCTTGGGAAAATATGGCGGTCAGTTTTGTTTACAGTATACACATATACATGTATATGGTGTCAGGCTACAAGGTTCATAGAGTTCCTAAAGCAACAAAAGCAACTTGGTATTGCTAGTTGCAACAACAGAACATCATCAAAATCAATAACATAGTACTGTGACCTGTGTTAGCATGAAAGCTCGACAAACCTAGATCTCCGAACCAAGAAGCGCTCCGGTCAAGTCGCCATCTTGTTCCCAATTTATTTGATATCTATGTGCAAGCCTAATCACCGTACGTAAATATCGAAAATTATTGACATTGGGTTGGGCTTACTTCATCTAGAGAGAATGCAACGCAAGTGTAAATATTGTGAAATGGATACATTCGATAGATAAACCATACCAGAGGCTAAATGTTTTAAAGATACCGGACATTTAGGTTCTTCTAATCGCATTGAGATGTGACCAAGTGGTAAACAAAAGGTATGAGAATTGACTACAGTACATTGTTACCATCTGGTGTATTTTTGTCTATAATCTGTTTACCGTCTCGTCACACTATTTTCGATCTTAGTGTACATAGGATTATAGTACAGCTGAAAAAGTTTGGTCGATTCCGTACCATCTTGTACACTACGCACGTCGAAGCTAGCATGCACCAACACTAGTCATTTGTTTGATGAAAGTGATTGTGTAGTCATCATGGAAACGTCATATCTAGTCTTCTACTGGTTCTGTTATAAGAAATTCTATACTTAAGAGTAAATACAGATTTGTGAAATATTTGGTAAACTTCTTTTTCGTAGTTGAGGTACCAGATGGTGGATTGTTCACGCCGTCACCCGTCAGCAGTGACGTCACACCAACCATTCTGAATCAATGCACCGTTTACATTAATTCCGGTGTCTATACATCCAGAGCCCGTAAGTATAGAGTCAGGTTATCTCCCTTTTTCGCCAGATCGTGTAAAGATATCTCAATTATCCGGTGTTAGTAAGTTTACTTATTACCATATTTACTCCAGATGTACACGAAGAATGCAAATTACTGTATGATGCAGTTTAATTAACTCTAATTATGACTCTACTGTATAAGTTTAAGAGTAAGCTACGAAATCATACGTAACTTGTTGATATCAAAAGACAAAAACATTGGTGATTACTGGAGGATGATAAGAAACGATGCGTAACTATTAGATATTAAAAAAAGAGGATTTTGGTGAATACCGGGGGAATATAAGAAATGAAATGCATTATAACATTAACCAAAGCTTGGTGCGAGATTTAATGGTGGATAAGTAAAATCTTTCTGCTATTTGTTGTGTCACTTTACTAATTTGACCTACTAAGATACTAAATCAAACATACGGTTGTAAAGACCGACTGATGAATTTACAGAGAAATATCAATGACATAGACTTAAGAATGACAGTTCTTATATGATCATAGAAAACCTAAGCAATGATATCTATTCGTGAAAAAAACAGTCCGTCATTCGCGGAAAATCGTACCAATTCAAATTTTGGTCAGGATCATAGAGAAACAGCACACAGCATGATATAGTACGTTCATAACCATGTCTAAATAATTAGTACCTTCTATTCTAGAGTCGGCCATTTTGTATTTGTATATATATATATATATATCTGTACAAATTGCTTATATATATATATATACCTAGACAGCATGGTTCATAGCTTCAGTTCTTACAGCCAGATTAAAGCCCTGATATACGTAACATTCACCAAAACTTTAGTGTAGAATCACACATAATTATTGAGATATTCTCTAAGATGTAGTTAAAATTAAGTTATTCAAACAATAGTTACCATGACTTTGTGCATAAAGTATTGATATATGAGCAGTTGAAACTCGCTATTTGTAAACACACCCCCATTTTAAACACGCCACCATCGAAATTACGATTGTTGCCGAACAACGTCGGAAAGTTCATGACCTGATCTCGCGGGAGTTGAGGTTTATACTTATAGAGGAAGCACATGCAGATATGTCTACGGTAAGTTTTTGTATACAAAAATTGTTTGCGAAGTCTTGTCGTAGACTTGAGGTATTCCTGTGATAAACATTCAGTTTTTGGGAAATTATTAGAAGGAATAATTAGTTTAGAAACGATACGACGCACAATTATAACGTAAGAATTCAGAACTGGCCTGATGTATGATTGGGAAAAAAGGAAGCGACTGGTGAACGTCTGTAGGGTGTCTGCCATGTTTACACACGCGGAATATGCGCATGCGCAATGTCATCGCTACGAGCGGTAATGTATGAATTATTGTGGGTCCCACATTGTTTATTTTCCGATTTTTTCAATTTTTATTTAAATTGAAAACAGTCAGTTTTATTTTATTTACTTCAAGGAAAGTATTTATTTTGTTACATATATTACGGGGAAAATAAGATAAAGTTTGTTTTTATAGTGATTTTTACGTATATTGGGGCTTTAAAAGGAATAGATTTCTTGGTCATCCCATAATTCTTTGTAAGGTGCAAGATTCTAAGGAGATTCGTTTAATTGCAAACAACGCCAACAGCCGACATTTCATTACAATATTATTGTTTGATATATCAGGATCCGGGTGTAGTCTTCCCGTAGAACTGCAGGGAACTTGGACATACAAAAGAGGTCCATTGTCTGAAATTTTGTTTACGAATATCAGCGCAACAATTACGCTGAAGGACGGGAGCAACTTCGTCGCCAACTGCGAGAGACACGACACCGATCGTAACGGAGTTCATCGGGTGGCACTCAGGTACGTCAAAACGGAAGTAACTTCGGATTACTTCTAATTATTCAATAAACAACTGGATACTTTGTTCCGGAAGTCGGGCTTCGCCATAAATATCATTCCATACAAACTTTCGGTTTGACGGCACGTAGTTTTCTGTGTATGACATTTTTCTTGATGGTTGCTGATAGGATCATATTAATAATTCCTTTGTTCTCTCATGACAGGACTAACATCGATGAAGGCCATGATGGAGTTGTATGTCTGGTTCTAAACCCTTTGCATGGTGGAAAATTCCTCTCTCGAGTAGCCAATAGTAAGACTCGTACAACAATGTCCTATTTGAAACAATTTTCACATCATAATTATTCAGTGCCAGAATGTTTTAGCATATCTATTACAAATAATTATAAATCGCGTACATCTCATCTGTTTCCAGCAGTGCTTTATGAATCTGTTGATTTGTAATAGATCAAGTACGTTATAAAATTAATGAGTAATTATTCTTAACATGTTTGTATAGTAGTACATTAAACAAAGACGACATATAAATTCATTTTATTTAACTTCATTTTTTTTCAGGCGGTGACCGGTACTTGAATCAAGTGAAGACCATCTTCTTCATGGAACCAATTTATTTGTACGAAACCTGCGACCTGATCGACACACCACTAGAGGGCTTTGTCATGCAGCCTTCCGTTTAGATTCGGAGTTTGTAACCACCCCAGCTGTCCTTTGGATGTTTTATTAAATGATAAATTGATTTATTTCATTCAATGTGAATTTTAAGAAAGTGACCCAGGTTTATACCAAGCACTTGTATATCAATTTAATAAGATTATATATTTAGTACAAACGGCGCTTAGAAATTTGCGAACAATAATTTTCAATCGCTGTTTTAGACATCATCCTTAATATATCTGTACCAAACTGACGATACTCTTTGCGAACTTGCATTTTTATGTAGAGAAAGAGATGACTTTGTAAATTGTTCATAAAATTTTCATCATGACATATTCATTCGTTATGATATAGAAATATCACAAATTTAGATTAATTGTTTACAATTAACATAAGGTGGCTATTACTCGCATGAATCATCTTAAAGATGACAACTTTTAAAAGATCTAGGCATCAGTGAGGGACATGATAAAACCAACAAACGATAATTCAAAGAAACTTGTTTTCTTTTATTTTCACAATTATCAAATCGAAATATTTACTTGTTTACTATTTTATAAAAATAAAAAACACAAATAAGAATAGACAGATTTTGAAACAATTGTTGTACTCCTATGTAACAACATTGTAAATGACTATCATTGGGAGAAAAGAAGACAAAAAGGAATAATTCAAATCTCAGAATGACTATCCAATTTTGCGGTGATAATTTTGGCGGTTCAGTTATACTGTATAATACATATTTGGATGGAAAGATGGTCTTATTCCGCAACAGTTGATTCTATAGAATAGGTAGGATTTCATTACAATGACAGCGTTTCGTGTAGCTTTATTTTGTAATCTGGGACAGAATGACCCGACATAAGAGGACGTCAGAAGAACGGTAAAATAGAAAAGGTATGTTGGCCACTTGACGGATGAATCAGTTTGTTAATGCAGGCATCTCTCACACTTGAGTTCCGCTTACACATCATGGCTGTAAACTGGAGCCATCACTTAGTTCCAACCACTACTAGCTAAACAACAAGACTTATTCCGGTTCGTTAATCAAACTTGAGAAGTTTAAGCGTGAGTGTTTCTGATATATAACCTGATGACCGCCACGTGCAAGAATTCAGAACAAATGACCTAAAAGTCTAATTACATCACGTGATCCTTACTATACAAGTACTTTACTTACCTTGGTTCTGATATAGATTTTGTCTCTACCATAGAACCTGGAGTTTCTACTTAAAATTATGAAATCCACATGTCAGATATAAGTATGGTGTAACCCGAGGTTTACATGCCCGTATGTAGGTATTTATGTATGTATGTGACTCCTTTCCTGGTAAGCGTCGCTTTCGATATTATTTCTCAAATAGCGATAATGATTGTAACCCCTTGAGAATCGAGGAGGGACTGTTTTATAAGTCAAGACATGTAAATGGTACTTAACTGATGTATAAATTGAAGATAATTTGTTTTTAATTTTTTTTCATCAGACAATTTGAGGCTTTAACAACAGACTGTTTACTTTATAGAATCTTGCCGTATCCCAGAATCTTGCCGTATCCCTCTTGGTCTGGTGAATATTTCACGTTGACAATTGGAAGTGACAAGGTCAGTAACATATAAAATGTTTATCAGTAGTATTGACCATACATCTTGCTCTGCAAACGGCAAATACTATTTTACAGTTCATGGATTTGGAAATTCGAAATGGTAGCTTGTGTGGTTGTGCAGGTGACTGTTTTATCTATGTTTCAAACTTCAGCGTGCTTTGTAGAAAGGGTGACCGGTCCATTTTCCCTCGGTGTACGTTAACAATACAAATAAGATTCTACCCTTCTATAATATCGATTCCAAACATTTTATGGTAAAATACTAAAATGGTAAAAATACTAAAATGTCAATTTCAGACATTTTTATAGTAAAATTCTAAAATGTTAATTCCAAACATTTTCATGATGAAAATTCTAAAAGTCTGTACTTAGAACGTGTTTCGTTTCGTCAGATTTTAGTGTTTTATAGCGAAAGAACGCTGTGGACAGGTATCTGGGATTCAAATCTTACACGGCATTCATAAAAAGGAAGTTTGCGATTGCAAACGTGTCCCTCGTCATCGATTGATTATGACGAACAGACACGCCAGCACACGAACATGGTCACGTGATACACCAACATCGTTAATCTATTTAATCAAATTAATGATAATTAGGAAAGCCTTATGCTGAACGGACACAAATAATTAAAGCCAAACTAGGACAGAGAAGTCAAAAACAGGGTCATTAGACAGTCAGTATAGAAATAACTGAAGTCAGGAAAGCTGAAATAGGGCCTCTGGAAAATCGCTGTCGATATAATTACATCCACATACATATCAGAAAAATCAAAATTGAACCGTTTGACTGTCATAGAAGAAATTGTTTTACATTCGTACAAGTAAGATAAGTCAGCATTTAACGGAAATTCACAGTGAAAATGTACAAACATTTATTCCGCACTTCATTCACGTCGAGTCAGATTACGGTGTATCAACTATAGGACAGGCATCATAGCATGGTCATGTTCCCGAAATGTTAAATTACATCGCAATCTTTATAGATTCAGAGTATACTCAGTCGTTACGGTATAATACTATACCCCAAGGACGTGAAATGACAAGTATTAATGTTAATGATACATATAAGGATATGTTATTACAATGGTAACAGAGATGGAGTGATCACGTGTATCTTAATATAGTAACACAGACGGAATGATCAAATGTGTCTTAATATAGTAACACAGACGGAATGATCAAATGTGTCTTAATATAGTAACACAGACGTAGTGATCAAACGTGTCTAAATAAAGTAACATAGACGTAGTGATCAAATGTATCTAAATATAGTAACACAGACGTAGTGATCAAATGTATCTAAATATAGTAACACAGACATAGTGATCAAATGCATCTAAATATAGTAACACAGACGGAGTGATCAAATGTCTCTTAATATAGTAACACAGACGGAGTGGTCACATGTCTCTAAATAGTAACACAGACGGAGTGATCACATGTCTCTAAATATAGTAACACAGACGTAGTGATCGAATGTGTCTTAATATAGTAACACATATGTAGTTACTATGGTAACACAGACGAAATGTTTTCTAACATAATATGTCGTTACCATGGTTATTTATATGTTTCTATGCTTGACGTGCTCGGTTATTTACATACAGACATGTGTCTGTATACGTCGTTTGACGAGAAAGTACACTTGTCATGAAACGCAGAGACTTCCCGGCATTTCGAAGACTTTATCAAAGGATTGTATTCTTAATCCGAATTCTCCGTTTTCTCAACTGTTTTCATATACCGTTCTCGATATTTATTGAACGTGTAATAATCGCTGAAATTTGATGACGTCACCGCCATCGGAAGTGCAATGAGTAGAATACCCGTCAATGCACACAAACAACCGATGCAATAGCCCTGAGCAGTGGTCGGGTAATAATCTCCGTATCCCACTGTTGTCATGGTCACTACTGCCCACCAGATGGAAACAAAAACATTTGGAAGTGTGACGTCAGTGTCTGTTCCCATTTCTGCCATGTAAAGAAGGAGAGCGAAGACAACCGCTACACAAGAGAACCCCACTGTGAGAAGAAACAGTTCTCTAGCACTGGACTTCAATGATAAAAGCAAGATCTTAAACCCGACATTGTTATTGAGCAGTCTGAAGATGCGTAACACTCTTAAACAATAGATTAACGTAATGATAAATAAGACCGGGTATATGCCTTCAACTGCAAATAATTCCCGCTGAAGCTCCATCCACAGCCCAATCCACTGAAACACCCAGGAAATCAACTCCACACAAGTCAGGAAGCTCCGAATAAATGCTAGCTTACTTGGTGCACAGAAAAATCGGACAAGCCAGTCGACCATGAAAATAACGTTACACGCGGTGTCTATGGCAACTACAGCGTAATGTGGACGTGTTATGTAGTACATAAGGGCAGTGTTTGACGTAACGCTATACGGGTAGGATTTCGTGGTATCAACAGGTACACGGAATGCTGGGACGGTCATCACCACAAACAGGAATGTAGATAGAAGTATCGTCACACACATTATTCCGTACCATACCTAGAGAAGAAAAGAAATATAGATTTATTTAAGATATCTTTGGTATTTCCAGGGTAACCTTAACTTTAAAACTGTTTGAAATCAATACTTGTATGTGATGGTGAGATCATATGATAAACGGAACCTATGGTTTAATTATTAAAAAATGATTCCCCTTCATCCAAGAAGGCTTCGAACCAAATTTGGGCAAAATCCAATCATTCCTAAATGAGGAGTAGGAGTTTAAAGAATTTGCCCTATTTCCCCTATTGGGTTCCGTCTCTCTGGTGCCAAGACCCTAGAGTAGGGAGTAGGATACAATTTAAAGGCTTTGCTCTATTTCACCTCTATGGCCCTGCCCGTCTGGTCCCACGGTGCCAACCATTTATACAAAATTGATTTCTCTTCACCAAGAATTCTTCAGACCAAATTTCGGCAAAAGGATTTTAAAGAATTTTCTTGGGCCCCACCCCTCAGGCCCAAGAGGGCCTGGACACATCGTTTATATACAATTGCTCCCCTTCCCCCTAAGGACCCTTTTTAATTATATTTGATCAAAATCCACTCAGTCGTCAATGTCTAGCAGCGATTTAAAAGAACGTCGATGGATGGACGCACAACCGAAGGAAGACGGACGAAAGACAGACGCCCGTGGTTTGACATAAGCTCACTGCTACTTCGGAACAGGTAAGATAAGCAGGTGTCTTTGTTTCAATGTACTAATGTAGCTAAGGTCAAGAAGGTTAATTACAGCATACGATATGGACAATGAAGTCTTAAGACATACGATACAGACAATGAAGTCTTAAGACATACGATACAGACAATGAAGTGTCAATTAGGACACGATACAGACAATGAAGTGTCAATTAGAACATACGATATGGACAATGAAGTCTTAAGACATACGATACAGACAATGAA